AACAGATGTATTTGATTAAAAAATCTGTGCATATTAATCACTCAGATGATGTCTCTGCTTTCAGAGAGCACTTCTGTCGTCGGCACGATTGGCAATTTTTGATGCAAATTGCGATGCCAAAGCGGAGAGGGAATGTGACACTCCGCCACCAACGAAACTTGAAGAAATTTTTGAGCAGCTAATTGCAAAGAAGCTTTTTGATCGCGCGTGGGAAATAAGCAAGTAACGAGATTTCTCCCTTAGCATTAGCCCATCCCTCACTTCACTCATCAGTTTTTTGTGCTTTTCTCAGCATTATCAGATTCATTTCCGAGCAACAGTAAAAGCTAAGCACAAACACACTGACGTCTGGGCATCACAAGGCTTGACATAACCGCTCGGATGGCCTTAGTATTCTTTGTATGAGCTTTTCTCCTGCTTTGCGTATTAAAATCAGAGAATCGGAACCTGTGAATAAAAGCTGAAGAAAGCAAAAGCAAATAAAAACTGAGAATGCAGAAGCAAAAAACAAATAAAAAGCTTAGCTAAAGTATTTGGCTTCGCTATTTATGAAGATGATGCTTAGGTAAAGCTGAGTGCTCTCAGCTTGCCCATGCAGCTTTACCTTATTTGCTCTGAGTTGGGAGGCGTTCTAGAGATAAGGGAGGGTAGGTTGGGAGGCGGAGGTTAGGGTGGGAGGGGGAGGGGGGAGGAGGGAACGGGTGCGGGAGAAGTTATATCAGTGCAGTAATTACGACTGGCATATCCTTACATCTCAGTGACGTAGAGGAATTTTTCCAGTGGTATTTTTTTGGTGGCTGAAAGGTAATTTATGTGTTTTCATGAACAGTTTCAGTCAAAACTTCCTCAGTAGCTCAATTTCAAGAGAAGCAAGGGCAATCGGAGTTAGTTTGAGTGATAGCAAATGCCAATAGCAATCAGCCTGAAATGTGTCAGTACCAATTTACCATCGAAACGAATGAGATTGGTTTTCTTACTGGTGAAAATGGGATTTCTGATCATACCATAAACACAGCAGTTTTGCAACTGAGATCACTTTTTTGAGCAAAAGTTGCTTTTTTTTATTGTATAGCTCTTGTGTTTTAGTGTTATAGCAAGAATTAACTTGCTCTGCATGTAAAATAGGAAGGGCAGTACGGTCCTATAAGGATCATATCAATAAAAACCATGAACAGCCCGTTCAGAGGACTGCAAACACCGGCCGATATAATCAGGGGCGAAATGGGAAGGGCAGTACGGGCCGTAGAGGCCCTGTCAGGGTCATATATCTTAAAAGTTATGAGCTGTACGGTGGAGAATCGTTTGATTCGAGATGTTTTAGTTATAACTGGAAGTCATTCAGAACAAAACCGCATTTTTAGGGTATTCGAACTCAAACCGTATCCACTAATAAAAGCACTCGCTCTTGAATGTATGAATCTTGATATGAATCCGCAGAAAGGTGAAGCAGACTGGGTTGCGAAAGGACGAAAGCATCTCACAATGGTAGTGAGGTAAGTGATTTTACTTCGAAAAGAAAGGAATTTTTGATATTTTGGTTTAACTTATTTCGTTCTAGAGAAACTTTTGTGCCATCTTTAGTAAGCTTCTTGTTAATTTTCTTTTCTTTCTCTCCTCTTTCACTCTCTTTATTCTCTCTCTGTTTTCTCTATCGCATGTCCATCTTGCAAATTACATGACTGTTCAGTATATGGTGGGTAGGAGGCTGTACTGGCGATTCTCGCTTCTATCCGCATG